GGGCGCTGACGTAAACTCTCGACCGTCTCACACTTCTGTTTAATCATTTTCGGTTTGACGTTTATTCAGCTGTGTGAAAACCCCGGAGGAACCCTCCCGAAGGATTAATAAAGTAAAATTTTATTTAATCTAATCTAATACATTTAATCTCAGCCAAACCGATTTACTCACGAACAAATAAAACACTGAAAAAGCGAAACAACATTTTTAAGTTATCAAAGTGACTTATACTTCATGTTTAACCCGAGTACTGAAAGGCCGCGGGGGTTTGAAGACGATGTGTCGGTCGTCTCAGATATTTGAAGTTTACACAGCTACATTCTCACCTGGAAACATGTTAAAAGATTTTTTGCGACGCAGAAAGAGAAATAAGAGTAATATTAAAACTAAGCAGCTGCCGCCATTGTTGGAAACTGGAATTGGCACTATGAATTCTGCAAAATATGTTTTTTTCAATTTTGTTGTCCGGGTGGAAATTCAGGAGAAGTTCGGGAGAATGGTGGCTCCGGGAGATTTTCGGGAGGGGCAGTGAAATTCGGGATTCTTCCGGAAAAATTAGGAGGGTTGGCATGTATGGTTATGGCAACATCACTAACCTTGTCAAACACTTCAGAGTAAATCACATCACAGAATATGACGAGCGTATATTGAGACGAACTGAAGAGGAGGAGAGGGACAGGTGCTGCTAGGGCGAGACAGACGTCTCTCACGGAGTCCTTTAGTGCTGCAGGCAGGCAGGTGTTCAAATAGCACAACATCAGGTTTTTTATTTCTATATGATGAACTCTGCATTATTAAGTGATAAGAACAAGTAATCCGATGTCCTGTAATCATTATGACGCTATAATTTGAGATACAATAAATAAAATGTTTTTGTACAAAGTATCGGGATCAGTATCGTCGATACCACCCTGAATATTACTTGGATCGGATCGGAAAGGAAATCAGTGGTATCGCACATCACTAGTAATGAGTCAGTCAAACCGGAGGTTATAGCCCAAGGGCTCGTTTTTAAGCCCCACCCACTATCCAGCATGTAATCCATGCAGTGTTTCCAATTTAGCGACTTTGTCGCTATATTTAGCAAGTTTTCAGACCTCCTTAGCAACTTTTTTTCTAAAAAGCGACAAATCTGGTGACTTTTTCTGGTATTATTGGAGACATATTTATGACAACTTTTTGACGTGAAAGCGCATATGGCTCTTACTCTCAACAAGCAGCAGCACTTTGGCACGGTGCACCTCACCCATGCCAAAGCGCTCACAGGCGGAGGATAGTCCTCCCCCAGCTGCTATCAGGGCAAGAGACGTTCACACATGTGCGTCCAAACGGCAAATGAATCGCGCATGAGCGAAGCCGCTGCTCCCGCACTGACTGTAACGCAGTCAGTTCTTCCTTTACTCTTATGCTGTTTTGTGGATCACATGGTTTAAAACTACTTATAAACACACACTCACACACAAAGTAACTCCACCAGATGACAATTTCGGGTCACCTTTGCTGGTCCAGGCCTGGATAAAGAAGCAGGGTTGGAATTGTGACATTAAAAACAATAATTGCTAAAATAAATTTAATTTGTAGTTCTAAATACATTCAAACTGCATTTAGGACGTTTTTTACTCACTTTATGACTCTTCCACGATGTTATTTCTCTCTCCAACAGCGTAGGTTACAATTACATTAGCATGGCCAATTATGCAAATTAGGCGATGACGTCATTTGGCGACTTCTAGCGACTTTTAGGACAGCCAATAGCGATTTTCCTTACTGAGGAGTTGGCAACACTGAATCCATATGGCGTATAGGGACTTTGAACCCCACTCTCCCCGGTGATAGTACTCTGATGAATCCACTTCTTTTGTCTAATGACCAAAACTAAAAGAAATTTGCCTACACCAGCTTTAAAGTACTTATTTGCTTTCACAACAAACACTGAAAACACTTAAATGCCTGGATAATAAATATAAAGCTAGTAGCAGCTCATTAGCTCAGCATCAAGAAAAACCCCTCAAACTATTCTGGATGCAACAGGCTTTATGACTAAGTGAGTTTGGTCTTATATAACATTTGGGTTAAGGCCATAATTTACAATAAAACCCAAAGTTCAACAGATTAAGCTTTCAAACTGTTTTTTTCCCCTTTATGCCATGTTTCTATCTGCTTTAGAAGCCCATTACAGTTATGTCAGAGTGGTTTTCTTAGAGGGCACCTGAGGTCTTTTCTGATTAAAAGAGTGAAATAGGTATTAAGGAAATGTTTAAAGTCATTTGAGAGGAACACAGCATTAACTCTGGCATGCACAGAGTGTTAATGTCATAAAATCTCTTCATTCATCTTGTTTCTCGGTTCTCCTTACAGCCGTGGAAGACAGGAAGTTGTTCATCGGCATGGTGTCGAAGAAGTGCAACGAGAACGACATCCGGGTCATGTTCTCTGCGTTTGGACAGATCGAGGAATGCCGGATCCTCCGAGGACCCGACGGGCTCAGCAGAGGTACCTGTCCCTCTGACTCACTTCGATCCAGACTTGATGTTCCTCATGTGAACATTAACACCTGCGTGGCCTCCAGCAGCTACAGTTCATTGCATTAACTTGTGTAATGACTCAAAAGTGTTTACCTCGAAATTTTGTGATAAGAGTTGACTGGTTGAAGACAGGTTCTGAAAAACTGACTTGAAAAAGTTCCCAACCGCTTTAATGTTTTGCAGTTTATTGTTATTTGCCTGCTTAAAAGCATTTGTGCTGCACAGGAAGCTGCTCATTTACACCTTCTCAGCCATTTTTCACTTCACTGTCTACCTCTGGAAGTGTTTTCCGAGCTGTCAGTGTTGCAAGAAAAAGACTGCTTACTTAAAACTGCGGTAATTATTATATAAAAACTTTTTGGGGTCATAAATATTTCCCCTGCAAATCAGCAGTATAGAAAAATGATGAGCCTTTCACTGCGCATAATGTGCCCGTGCCTATTAAATTAGATTTCCCCATTTACCTGAAATAGTATTTTAATGTTGTGATCAAGCTGCACACCTGACAGAACCAACAATAAATGTTTGTGTGTGTAGGCTTGATTTTCTAATTGAAAGTCAGCCTTGAGCCATTCATTGTCTTCGGCAAGTGGAAGTGCGCTCTGTCCTTTTTTATTTCCCAGAGTCTGAGTGGTTCAGAAGATGGTTATCGAATGGTTCGCCAAAATAAAATCAATTATTAGCCATCAAAGGTCTGCAGTGGAAGAGCTCTGTGCAGGTCATAAAGACGTCAAAGGCCATTTTAGAGCTCATATTATCAGGTTTTATTGGTTTGATAGATACTGCAGAAATTCTAGTGATAATAATAAGCAATAGAATGAGAGCAGAAATAATTAAAGCTGAAGCTGGATCAGGGCTCTCAAAAGGCTCCGCTAGTTTATCCACTTAATGGATGTATAGGGGCATCAAGTTGTGGTTTAAAGGTTATTTTATTTTCTGCATATTACAAGATAAAATTATTCTAGATTAGCTGGTGTTGTATGGCCTCAGTCACACAGGCCTTTAGACTCTTTAGCAACCCTCGGCAACCACATGTGTATTTACCAACCAGTTGTAAGTGGTTGTTAAAGTTTGCTGCAAGATTGCTGCGGTCTCTTGTAGTTTGCATGAGCGATGCCAATTTATCCTCCAAGCAAGTTAAATAGTAGTAGTTATTGTTTAGTTATTGTTTACAATCAAGTCGGCATTAGCCATGCAAACAACCTGTTTCACTAGTTTTCCCTACACAACCACTGGTTGTCAGGTGGTTGCTAATAAGTCTTTAGGCCTCTGATGATAGCTGTTGGACACAAGGTAGAGGATGAGAGAGGTGCAAACCATCGACTGTATATAAAGTATACAGACTAATTCTGAACTTCCTGTTCTTAAAGCGTCAGCATCAGCTACCATACTTTTGGTTTTTGGATCCAAAAGTGACCATACTTGGATGAAAGTGAGGAGCGTTACACCATCTGCCAGTGCAAACAAGCTTGGTTAGCTTTACCTGCATAGGCGCAAACACCTGCTAATAACTGCTAAGTATCAACTAAGAATTTTACTCATTAGAACAGAAGCACAAATTCCCAGATAAAAACCTGATAGATATAGTCAGATAATCCCATTTCAAAGAGGTCCTAAAAGCACATGAAGCCCACTTTAATTATTCTTATTAATAGAGGTTAAGCCTCGAGACAGTTAGCAGAGACAGCTAGCAGACAACAGCAGCTAGAGCCCTAATTTTAAGCTTTAACAAACAGGTGAGTTATAGAAAATCATAGCCACGGTACAGTTGTTTGTTGAAGAGAAAAAATATCTGAAGTCACCAAAAAGAGTTTCCGCTGAAAGGTTGCCGTAAAGTTGGGGATTTTACCATTGAAGTCTGTTGGGATTGAGAGTACAAACGGACTAAAAAAGGAACCACATTTATGTATAGATATCTGTTTATAGAAATTAAATGAGTGCAACAAGCCCAGTATACCTTATATGCCTAATACAGCACAGCCTTTGTATCAGATTCTGTTTTCAACCAACTGCTTCTTCCTAAATGTTTTCCTTCGAGGTCTTAAAAGAGTCATTTTAAGAAGTCAATGCAAATGAACTGGAGCAACATCTCGAGGCTGCTGTGGCCACCACTGTGAATACATGCTTCTCCTCTTTCGCTCTATATACCCCCCACCCCCATTCTTTCTTCTCCCCTTCTTGCTCTGTCAGCTTCATCCCCAAACATCCCCTCTCCCACTCCTCCTTCTCGCCTCCTAACCTCTGTTCATATCCTCCACCTTCCCTGCTGTTCCGGTTTACCCTGTCCATGAGCCAGTCCTAAGCTCTGTACTTCCATTGCAGAGCAGTGGGAATTTTCAAATCCGCTGTCCAAATCGGGACGTGAGTTGCTGCTTTGTTGGCTTTGTAGTGTTGAAATAAAAGGATTGGTTATGTTTTGCATAGCAAAACAAAATGTTAATTTTAAAGCACTTTCATAATTTTACTGCAACTGTATTTACTTTTTTTTGACTTGATAAGTCTATGAGACGAAGACCCCACTTTATTACATCAGTATACGAGTTTATGTTAGGTTATGTGATCGACAGGTTTCTCAGTCAAATCCACCTTGTGCTCGTTACTAGTTTCAAGAAGCACTGCTCTGCTCAAGGCGTATGCAGCACACCATAGCTACATTGATCTTTTATCTTCAGTGAATGATCTTACAGTTATTTGATACCAGTCTCAGTTACTGTTGACATAAATCACTTGTTGAACCAAATTTGAGTCCAGTACCAAACTGATATTGAGGAAAGCCTGCCCTCAAATTTAGAATTTCAAGCAAATTATGGTTATTACTGGCAGTTCACATGAAACCCTTGTAATACCAGCCATTTCCCTTTCATTTTTTTTCAGTCGGTGAGGTGCTGATTTGGCCATTCGGGGACTTGGCGGGAGTCATAGAGCAGTAATGAAAAAGTAACACGGCCATAAAAGAAAAGAAAAACGTTTTTATGACTCTGAATGTGGCAACATCTCCAATTCAGTTGATTTGGAGAAAGGTATGAGCTGCCTCCACAGCAAAATAGCAAATTCCTGGCGAGTTTCCTTCGTAATTGGCACACTCTTGGTGCTCTTCTCAAAGTGCTCCAGGGCTGCTTTTAAAGAAAAGAAATGGACCTATTAACCAGGTGTCAAATCATTCAGATCAGTCAGCTGCTGGGTGTGACAGGTGTGTTCTGTAGGTCCGTGTTTCAAGACATATGAGCAGATATGATAATCATCTATCAATCTATTTTTAGCTCTGTTACCTATCTAAATAATCATCATCAACCATTTCTTCCCACAAGCACACACCTGCCTCCCCTCACGGCTCATTTCAAACATCCTCCCAGTATACCCTACCTCCCCCTTCCCTGCCCCTTTGTGGTTTCTATGTGCTGAGGAGATGGAGGGGCTTTTTGCGAATCTCTGTCCTTCTATTCTTCCTCCTTCTGTCACGGGAGCTGTCGCTGTCATCGTCACGCAGGTTCAGTGTGGTTATGTTGGTGATATATACTTTTCTGTGGCTGTTGAATGTTATGGATGTTTTATTGTTGACTCGAGTCTGATCTTCCTCCTTTTCTTCTGAAGGTTGTCTCCATCTTGAGTCTTTGCCTGAAACCACACTACTCAAACTCCCATGTTCCTCTGCTTCTGCGAACAACACGGCCCTCCCCGTCTCTATATTCACCCTGGCTGTCCTAGAATCCGTTCTTGCATCAATTTGTCCTCTTTTTCTCAGACATCCCACACCGGCCTCCTTCCCTCCCTTCCCTGTTTCCTTCTTCCATCCCTCTTCAGCTCCTCTCTTTTGTCCTCATGAATATTTTAGATGCAATGGCCAAATCCTTGCTTCTGTGGAACTAATATAAACCACTTAGTCGAAAAGGAAATACTGTTAGTCCAGCTTGGTCTTGGCTAGTAAACAAACACCCCTAACCAGGTTGGAAATAAATAGGCCTTTACGGATTTCTGTGTGCCTGCAACTCCCAGGGGCCCTCAGTCCCACGTAGCATCGCTGCTGAGGTCCTATTAAATCTCGATATCAATCAGAAGAGCGCTCCACCATCCCGCTATTAATAAAATATGGATCACACCACCAGTGGATGGCTGGGCCTGGGGAGCTACCCTACTTTCATTAAAGGACTGTTTGGTTCTCCACTGACGACAGAATGCGGCCCGTGAGGTATTTTTAGCGCTCGAGCCACGTCCCATCTCTGTGCTTCGAAAAATAAGACATGCACCAACCAGCCAGAAAGTATGGCTTCGACTCTAAGCGTTTCTTTTTTCATTAACAGCTTCGACATTAATGAATCAGTGTGCAGGCGCAGTGGAATTCCTTATTTAGAAGCTTTGGCTTCAAGCTGCAGAAACGGGCTAAAGATAGAAATGTTTCTTTGCGGATGAAAAGCATCCTGTCTGACAGTTGGAGACAAACTGATGAGTCTCCTTTCGGTGACAGCCGATGATGTTGTAGCTGACCGGTTTTATAAATAGAGTCAGGACCTATCAGGACCAGTCTGGAGGGCTAACCCAAATGGATGCCCCCTGCAGAACTGATCTAGTTCTGGGGCATTACTTCTCTGCAGAGGATGGAGGCAGCCTCCTGGAAAATAAGCAGTTAAATGGCAGATTGTGGCCCACCTAAAATAGACAGTCCCCTGAATAAATCGAAAAATGACCCCTTTTTGTATGTCCTATCTTCAGTGCTACCACTTAGCACAGCAGCCCTGGCACTGCAAAGGACGCATCAAATGTTTACTAGGTCAGAGCTTCAGTCTCTTTTTTATCACCTTCTTGCCTCTTTAATGTTAAGCAACCAAGGTAGTTTCACATAAAAGGTGATTGAACTCTATCTTCCAGTTGGCAGTGACAGAAAAGAAAAAGGAAAGGTCAATAGGTTTCATATAAGATCAGAGACAGGTCTGCATAACCAATAGGAACAATCATTTTGAAAATTGAACACAGAAGATGTTGATTTGAGTGCTCGGATGATAAAAACTGTTCAAGTGTATTTCTTTCAATTCTAAAGTTGTTCTCACTAAAGACCAAGGCTCATTCTTCTTGACAGCCATCACTTAAACTTCTCATTCTATTCAGAAAATGGTGTAGACTATAAAAACTGAATCTTCAATACTGTGGCCTCAATTGATATGTTCAGTTAACACAGTCTGAACCTCTAACAGGAGACCCGGTAAACTTTTTGAGTGCTATAATTTCTGCTTTTATCATGTGTTAATATAATAGGTTTGGCAACCACGCCTTCAAAAATTATCCACATTACTTTTTTCAGAACTGATTTTCAAAATTACAACCTACAAAAAAGATTCAAAAAAAGAGTTAGGGCGCTAGGTAACATGGGAAATTTAAAAAATGCCAATTTATGCAAATTATTAAAAACAGAGCACATTCTGAGTTTGATGACAGAAAAAGATTTTCAAAAAGGCTGGGACCAAGGGTGTGCTGACCTCTTTCAGACACACCAGTTATGTTACTTTTTAAATGATTTCCTGTAATTGCCCAGGATATATAATTTCACCTACTCAGCAGTTTAGTTTGCCAGATAATGACATTGCTTTCATTCAGTTCAGTTTTATCTATATAGCGATAAGTTACAACAAGAGTTTGTCTGAAGTTGCTTTATGTTGTAACAATAATCCGGAGAAAACCCCAACTATCACACGACCCCTTGTGAGCAAGCATATGGTGACAGTGGGAAGGAAAAACTCCTTTTTAACAGGAAGAAATATCCAGCAGGGTGAGGAGAGGGAGATGAGACGAGAGAGAGAGATTAATAATAACTAATGATTAACTGCAGAGAGTGAAAGGGTGAGGAAAGAAGAAACACATCATGGGAAGACCCCACAAGCCTAGACCGGTTGCAGCGTAACTGAGGGAGAGGTCAGGGTCACCTGATCCAGTTAAATATGGGTCAAATCAAAGCAGAGTTCCCCACTTTGCCTGATCTCCTGTTAAAATAAAATGAGGCCAAGAGACACACATCTGGAACTTGTTTAAATATGCTTTCATATTTTCATGATACAGTTTTAACTTTCTACAACAGAGATGTGTTTTTAATGACACCCGAGAGGCTGAAGATCAGGAATTCTGAATCTTTAAATATAGATTATATCTTTTAAAATGTATTATATACCACAGATTATTTAAAAAAAATATTACAACTGTTTTAGAACTGTTTGCCCACGTAGTCTTTGCCTCCCTATCTGTACCAGACTGGTTCTGTTATAAATAACCATATTACTAATCAGCCGGATTTTGATTCTGTTGACACACGGTCAAAATGTTTTGCTGGCATCAAAATGAGCATATTAAAAATATTTATCTTCAAATTGGTTATATTCGACTTAATACGGGGTTTGACTCGCTTGCTCGGCGTGCCCCGTGTCTCAAATGTGTGCAGAGGTAGAACGGGGTGTCTAATAATTGTAAAGTTGGCGATTTGATTCAAAGCTGTAACCAAGCAGTTTGAGCACTACGTACAAAATAAAAGAGACAAACAGTGACTATGAGAAACAGATGCAACTCTAATCTCTTGTTTTAAAATCAGTTTGTGAAACAGCCCAACAATCAAAGAAACCAACCTGCCCTCTACCGAGCAAAGAAGCGTCCGGTTTTAAACAGCGAGGCTCATCAGAAACGTGTTACCCTCCAGAAAGGGCGGTCAGAGCCCCGAGATAAACTTGCAACTGTACAAGTGCAGGTCTACATTTTCTCAGGGAAACGCCTGTGTTTAAAATCCAGGCAGCCGTGGATGTAGTCAGGAGAAAAAACTGACCATTCGTCTCTCTCATCCTCATTCTATCACAGCTACAGGCGGCTTGTGATAGAGGTGGAAGAGAACAATGATCATCTATTCCTCAACATATCTGTCCTTCCCCTCTCTCTCTGTCTTGTTGTCTGTTGCATTATTCCCCCCCCCCCTTTCTCCACCCTTTCATCCCATCCACACAGCCAGGGAGAGTCTATCTGATGACCCATGCTATTAGTTTTTTCCTCTGTAGCCAAGCCACGAGTCAGCCAGCTGAACCTGAACGTGTGTGTGTGTGTGTGTGTGTCCAAGCATGTGTGTAATCAGTTCAGGCCTGGCTGCGCTAACATGGCTTGGTGAGTTTGTTAGCATATTATTAGCCTGGGGTGTTGTTGAAGCACTTCTCACATTATCTCCTCTAATCACTCCCTAACCAGTCAGACAAACACAACTTTGCACCCCCTCCTCCCACCCCTTACCCACAAACAACTGATAACAAACTCCCCTAAAATTGCCTCTGGCTGTGTCCAATCTTGATTGGCTAAAATCAGTGTCAGTCACGGAGGAGGTCGACCACACCTCCACTTCCTATTCGCCTTCCTCTCCCTGTGGATTGAATTAATATCATTTCCTATCCTCCCGTCTTCCCGAGCCCCCTGCTGATGCCCCCCCTCCTCTATCACATCTCTTTCCTGTCTGACAAAGACAGAAAGAGAGGGCACCCAGTCAGACACACAAAACAACATGAACGGCCCAAATGGATTCAAATCGTTTTCATGCATATTCAGCCTGCTTTACACCGCTCAATTGCTGAGAGATGAGAGCAGTTGAATACAGGTATGACGAATTCGGCCAGTGTGTGCGTGTGTGTGTGTGGGAGCGAGAGGAAGGAGAAGGAGGAGGGGCAAGGACGAGGGAAGGCATCAACAGCCAATCCGACGCTCCGATGGTTATTGTCCCAGGTGTCCTGTGGTGGATGGGGCGGGGGTCGGGGAGGGGTTGTGGTTGTCATTACACTGTGCTCGTTTTTCGCCTGTTGTTTCTACAGCGACTGAGAACACTGTTGTCTGCCTGTGAGCTGTTCTCTGTATCAATCTCTGTTTTGGGTTTTTATAACGACAACGTGTCCAACCCTTTTGTCTTGTTTTTGTTCTTTCTTGTCTTCCCTCCTCCTCCTGCCCTTCTGCCCTCCCTCCCACTCCCCTTCCATCCCTCCCTCCCTCCCTCTGCCCCCCCTCCCTCGTTACAGGATGTGCGTTTGTCACGTTTTCCACCAGAGCTATGGCACAGAATGCAATCAAAGCCATGCACCAGTCTCAGACTATGGAGGTATGGTACTCTTGCCCTTTCTTCAACTCTCTGTCTCTTTAGTGCCTTTAATACATGCACTTCACTCTGTTATTGTGCTGGCAATTATATGTCTGTCTCATCTTTGAGTCACTTCTTCAGTAAAAGCCGCGACTTGTTACTTAATAGGTTAGGCCGAGTAACATTTCCTGGAGCACTTCTGACACAGGTCCAGTGAATTGAATGCCTCAATGTAAGAACTAAAGGAGCGCTGCTTTAATACGTAACCATTATGTAGGTCTTTTTCTGCTCGCTTAAGAGAAATGTGGTATCAATTTTTCCTCAGCACGAGGAGAATAAAATCTTTAAACCACAACAGTTAGCAAATGCTTGCTAACTGTTGTGGTAAGTTGTTGGTAAGTGCTACTCAAGCATAGACTGTATATAAAAGGTGGCTGTAACCACTCTGACATCATCCACTAGTTAACAAAGAAAGATGTGAGCATGCAAAACCCTTCATCCACCTTTTATTTACAGTCTTTGAGTCCTTACAAAGATTTAATTAACATGCAGGAAGCTTTAATAAGACTGTAAAAGTGTTAACGGCCTTATTAGATTACTTTTAATAAAGTCGTTGGCAGTTTCTATGTGTAGAGATCATTTCAGACGACTGCGAACTCTTTATTATAATTATTGTTACAATTGTGTGCTAATCAAACAAAAAACAAAGCTTGTTAAGGGTTTAAAATAAACATTGTGAATAAGAATAGTAACAATAATACTTTTTTAACCCTGTTTGTTAAGTTACAAGTTAGTGTATGAGTAATGTAAATACTCAAAGGTGTTAATTATGTTCTGAAGTAGTCTTTATCTTATTAACAGTCCATAAACATTATTTACATGTGTATACTTTTGTATTTCACATTAGTTTTATTATTATTTTTAACCATTATTATCCTTAAAATCCTTCATTGTTCACTCACACACGAGGCCAATTCCATCCCCTCAACCTACAGAGTATAACTGTTCACTTCTCATTTGATGATTTTTTTTACTTGATGATTTTTTAAAGCATTAACTGTTTGGTACAAGTCTGCCTATGCTTTCAATCTTTATGATTATCCAACTAAATCCTTTTATTCGGTGTGTAAATTTAAATGAATTCAGCTTGTATCTTTAGGAAATGTGAGTTGTAACAAAGTCTCGGCTTTCCTGCGCCGCATGCGGGCGGTAAAAATAATGATTAATTTGACGAGAGTTTATTAAATGAGGTGATTTTCATTTATAAGATGTCTCTTTTCCATAAAAGAGTTATGGTGCTGCTGACTTCTGTAGCATCTGTGGAGCTGCCATTCAGAAAGAAAGGAGAGATTTATTACATAACTTGAGCCACTCAGGGGTTTTGGGTCTTTTGTTTATTTGTATAAAGCTTCAGGCTCAGATTATGCTTGGGTTTAGTTAATTTGCAAATCAGTGTGTATTGCAATAGCCGTCTTTTTTTGTGTGATTTTGAAAGAATACAATGAAAACTAGCCTTGAATCTCCGGTTCAGATGTCCAATTAGGAGGTACAAGCTGCACTGGGTGTTAAAGACAATACTGTGGCTTAAGGTTAGGACCTGTGCAGACCTCTAACACCACATGCCAGGTGTGCAGAGGACCAGTGTGACACATTCACCTAAAAGCTAGAAGTCCATCCAGAGCTTTAGCAGAAGCTGGCACAGTCACGTCCTCAGCCTTGGGATAAAAATCACCATCGCCTGTTTAGTCTCCATTTTTCCAATCGCAGATTTTCCAACTAGGGCAAACTTTGGCAAAGTCTCCAAACTGTGACAAATAAGCAGCACCCTTGACACAACAACTGCAAATTGGCAGGTGCTGTTACAGACCTCATCAGTTGCACAGTGACCCCAGCGGTGCCATAATGGGGACCTAGTCGCAGCTCTTTTGTGTCCCCCCCTTCCCTGCCTCACCCGGGTTTTTGGGGCGCCCTTGTCAGCATTGTCAGGCCTTGTGACAGGGCAGGATGACAGGAGTGTGATTGGGAAGAGAATTACATGGTATAAGACGAGCACAGAGTGTGTGTACCCCTGCGAGTCAGAGAGAAAGAGACAAAAAAAAAGCGGTAATAACAGGCTGTGTTAAGGGGAAAAAAGAACGAGTGGCATTCACCCCCGTAGCCCCCTCATTAGAGCTGATCATGATAATCATGGCTGCTATTGATGTGCTGTGACCCTGACGTGGGGAAAACGCATGCTCCTCCCTCTGTCTGTCTATCTGTGAGTATGTGTGTGGTTTTTCTGTTTATGTTGCCACACTGTGAATATCAGTGTCTGTGTTGATTTATGTGGCCGAACAGCAGCGGTGTCTGTCTTTCTGAGTCGAAGGAGCGACGCTCCTCTCCGTCGGCGTTAGCATTAGGCTAGAATTATCCTCGCTCCGAGCAAGTTGTCTGCCACAGTGGGGCCGGTAAACACTACCAGTGCCCCTTTGCTTTTATCATGCACACAGGAAAAGGGGGAAAAGGGAAGCTTTAAACCATAACACAACAATATTACAGTGGACAATGGCAAAATACCTTCATTTCCATTTGAAAACAAGCTGTCTAGCCCCAGGCGGACCTAAATTGCCGCATCCGTTTGTTAATGTTCCTCAGTTTTGCAATTTAAAAGTAATTACTTCGAGTCCGAATGAGGGAATGAGGTCTGGTAAATAGAGTTTGGTTATTGTCTTGGCTCTATTGCACCCCACTGTCTTAGATAGAGAAAGATTGTGTGCACGTGATGTGTGTGTTCGTGTGTCTGTGTGAGTGTATTCCCTGTCACGTACGCGCCACATGTCACGAGGAAGAAGTAAGGCAGACCGGGGGCCCATTCGTTGATGGCCCTGTCACTGTCATATCCATTCTCATTACGGCGTGACATTCAGGTACACGCCGGCACACATTTGTACACACACACACACACACACACACACACACACACCCTTGCTCTCTGAATGTTAGGCCGTAATGAAAGTGGATATGAGCGGGACGGGTAATTCGCCGTCGAACCTCTAAAGACACACACGGAGAAAAGTGGGTCGCCTTCGTTGTGCTTTATTTGTGCTTTACATTAGTCACTCCTTTTATAAAGACTCATTTAGCACTCAGGTTCCCCTCGTGCAGTTTTCCATCAACACTGATTTTTCTATTTCCTACCTTTTTTCTTTTTTCCTTTTCCTGCACGAAACTAGAGGGACACTTGTGTATTATCCTGCGCTTGCTGCATACGTGCACACACACCCCCTCCGACCCCCCGTCGGAAATGCAGAAGCGTTCAAGCGCATTTAGACGAGAGCTTAAGTAGAGCATGAGCGAAAACACAGCAGTGTCTGTTTAAACAGTGAACAAATACATCTGTCGACTGTAGTGAAGAGCAGAGACAGATACAGACTGACAGTGGGAAGAAAATAGGAGATTAGATTAATCAGGGGCTGATGTTGACACCGTATAAGGCTGGATGATCCCATGTTTTATTTTAACAGAAGGAGTCTGAGTTAGCCTAACTTATGAGTCTCGAGTATTTGTCACAAAATGCCAGATTCGTCTTTGTTTTCCAAATAGTCTCAATTTACTCTGAATTTAGTCACAGTTTACTATGTATATGCGTGTTCTAGAGTGTATATGCTCTGCCGGTGTTATAAGTACCATCTAAGTCTAATTTAAGCTGAATTGTTGATTCAGCTGTAGGATCAGTCTGGAGGCTTCAGTTTGTCGTGCTGTTCAGTCAAGCGTTGTTTTACACCGACAGGTGATGTGTGTGTCCACACTTGCTGACAGGAAACGCAATCCAGTCGCCCAGTTCTGATGTTATCAGCTCAATGAACGGCCAGTAGGTGCAATTCTTCGTCTAATAGCAACTCAGAAGATGGTTTTCAAACATTGTAGGCACTCCAGCTTGTGCAGGAGACCTCTAGTGGTAGTTTGAAGAAGTGCATGTAAGATTTCCAAAGGTAAATAAATGTCTTGGTGATCAAGGAAAAGGATACTCAAGAGCCCTTTTTGCATTATACGCACATTCATAGAGCTCATTATTAAATGCAGTTTATCTTCCACACAGTAAATATGCATCGGGGGCAAATTGGGGTTCAGGGATCAAACTACCCAACTTCTCATCAGCAAACAACCGATTCTACCTCCTAACAAATAGCCATCCATATTTTTGGTGCCTGAAAACAAACCTGAAGACAACCACTAGGAAAGAAAAAGCAAGCCGGTTGATGTGTCAAGCTCACACTATGTTTTGTTGCGCTTGATCTGAAGGGTGGATCGAATGAGGCTACGTACAGCTACAAAAAGGAGGAGGAGCCAGGCAGCATGTCTGAGACTGGTAACGACTTGTAATGGCTTTTCAGTGAGCTGATAACATTCAAAACTAGAGGGAGAATTTTGCACCACTTTAAGGTTGAAAACGATTAAAAGGTTGGATTGATGTCTGTTTTCGACAGCTTTTATAAGCTTCTGGGAATCTCAAAATGGACACAAAGCAAACCTTTTCTGCATAATATGGATTCTTAATATATATATATTATTACAAAGGCATGGAATTAATTCATTATAGATTTAATTCACTGTAATGGAAATGTTTTACACTATTAAAATAAGAAAAAACAACGACAATTATTTCAACTGATGAAAAACTGCGACAGTCTATAAATAATAAAGTGCGAAGCTAAAGTGGAAGGAGAAGTTTAATCACATGCAACAATGAACAGTTAAACATGGCACGATTTAAAGAGGGAGTGCTTTTCCAAGTATGTAATGGATTGCTTGGATTGCCTTTGACAGATTTTGACGGTTCCTTCTGAGCAAGTAGGCTGGGTTTTGGGGACAATGAGTTGAAACAACATGCACAAAGAGCTCAGACGTGACGCGCAGACTCCTATAGATATCGGGGGCTCCTGACTTCCTATTAGCAGGGTAAGTTAACATGGTTTGACATTTGAAGGCTATGCGAGAGGTAAATAAATGAGATGGAGAAGGCTCAGAGCGCATAAACTCTC